GATCTTCCTCTTTTGTCTGTTACATTCTGGAATCGGAGATAAAATGATGCATGATCCATTTCCAGGTGGATGAGAGAGTCTTCTAAGTTTTTGCTTGATGTATTCATCTGCTGTTCAACTAAGTCTAGTTTCTTCTCTGTTTGTTCTGTTCTTTTTTCTACCGCTTTTATTGACTGTTGATTTTTTTCCAGTGTTGTATAATTCCCATTTTGTCATCTAATTTGTGTATGTTGTTTTTAACTCCATTTTTCATTTCACTCATCTCTATTTTCATTTCATTCATATCCATTTTCAATTCACTGTGTTTTTAGCTACTGCCTCTTGTAATCATAGTTTCTTGGATAGTTAGCAGTGCTGTCTGCACATTTTCGATATTCGATCCAGAATTTGGTTTTTCCATTGTAGCCATTTCTTCTGCTGACCTTTGAGATGCTGGAGAAGTAATCAATACCTTTGTCGCTGGATTTGTCGCTGGGTTTACAATTGTCTTTTTTCCAGATCTCAGTGCTGTTGTTGTGATATTCCGGTTTGCTTGTAGGGCATTTTTAGTCCTCTGGAGGCTTCAGGGAAGTCTCCTAAAGATCCCTGAAGCCTCAAGAGGGCTTAAACCGACCCTATGAGCAAACTGGAAGTCTGTTCCCGAACTTCTGATTTGCCCATAGGACCTCCGGAGGGCCTCCAGTGGGGGAGCTCTTTTTGCCCTTCCAGGCTCCTATGAAGCCTGTAGAGCCTGGGGAGGGCGAAAAATGGCTTTAAAAAAGGTTGAACTCAGCTGGCCAGCGCGCACATGCGTGCCCTGACAAATGGCTCTGCGTGCCACCTGTGGCATCTGTGCCATAGGTTTGCCATCCCAGGTATAGGATTTCCTGAATGAGTATGGGGTTGGTCTAGAAGACTTCCAAGGTCCCCTCCAACTCTATTATTCTGTTAATCTCTAATCTTGGATTCATCACATCTGAAAAATATTGATCTCTGACATTTGGGATCCAGCTGTAGACATTCAGAAGTAGCCATCAGCTCCCTAAGCATTCGGGCCCATATTATTACTTCATACATATTACTCTGCTTTAACCAGCAAAACAAAAGTGGGGAGGGGGGTTGATTTTTCCAGCAAAACAGTATTTTAATTTAATTCAAGGTTTTATATGGCTAATAAATAGTTGGCATTGCCTAAGCATGTAGGATACACATTGATTGTGCTGATTTGGAAAATGAAGGTGGGTGTTGCTTCAATGGGCTTTAGCACAAATGGATTAAAGTTACTCTATAGCCTGCACTGTCTGAGCTGATGCACTGTACTCTCATTTCCCACTCTTTCTCTGAAAAAAACAACAGGCAAAACATTTCTGAAAACAGGGATAAAGAACCATTTCATAGGGTATTTCTGAGTAAAGTTTGTTTAGTGCACAAAGCACAAAATAAAGGAAGGAAGCAGAAAATGAATTAAGGCAAATCCATATATTTTTTTACACAATAGTGGGAATACAAACACACACATACACCAAACTGTAGTGGTTTATAGTACAGGTAATTCTTATTTAGTGACTCGCTCATTTAGCAACAGTTTGTAGTTACAATGGTGATAAACAAGTAACTTTGCAACCAATCTTCACATTTGTGATCTTCACAGATCTGTAAAGCAGAGGAAAGGTGAGGTAAAATCATCAGCAAATCAGTTTCACTTAGTGACTCTGTGGGGACTATCTGTGCTTGTTTTATATAGAATCTGATAACCAGAAGTCACTGCTGCAACCCTATGTTGTAATGCAGCATTTTCAATACTAGAACACTAGGATTCTGTAAGAACTTGATGAAATTTCATGAGGGGTTAAAGGCAAATAAATAAATAAAACCTCTCAAACACATCTCAGTAAAGCTCTATTCTTGATCAGGGTTCCAGCATTTATTTTTAATTAATAAGTTTCGTTGCTGAAGAAATCTAAAAACCTCTGTCCTAATGCACTAAACTTATTTTAAACTTATGTTCCTGTTAGGTAACAACAGGAAAGTGCCTTGTTTTAATTGGTTAGCTGATTTTTTTTTTGTAAATTAAAATTTATAAGTTGTTCCCATGGGTTTGTTTTGTAATGCCTTTGATAAAGGATTTTTTATCTAAAGTAACCTCGCTCATAACATCTGAACACATTTTCACTACTAGCACCTGGAGTATTTTCCTTTCCTTTTTTTGAATCTTGCATTGTGCAAACATTCAGCTTATTTCATGGAATTTTATTTGTGTGCATATCTGAGGGAGGGGGCAAAATCCAAATAATGGCAGTT